CAGGCAGTTCGCCACCAGGGAGCACTGCCGGGCAGTTCGCCACCAAGTAGCTCATCACCAAGGCACGTCACCACCGGGTCAAACACGAGGTACTTAGCCAAAAAAATTTTACACATCCTAAAAATTGGACGTGACCAAAAACGGTTACATCAAGCTACAAACTAATCGGATCGAATTCACTAAAGGGTATATCCGATCCGATAAGAATCCTTTGGATTTTCAAGAGTATGATTCAAATTTGAATATCTTATCGTATATTTGATTTGAAGATTCAATTAGAATTGTAATAAAAAATTATAATACATTATAATATATAATATAATCAAATATCTTATCATATATTTGATTTGATTGGTATCATGTACTTTGGGCCTAATGCTACTTTGGTCTCCGAACTTTAAAATCCGAAAATTCAGTACTCGAACTTTTAAAATGTGTCAATCCAGTACTTTATCGTCAACTAATTTATTAACCAACCATTAAGTGATACTTGAAAAGACAAATGCCCTTTGAATGTCATCTAATTTTCTTTATCAACCATCCACATATTAATAAAAATGAACAGTCTCAAATCATTGCCTTTTCTATTCAAATTAATAAAAATGAACAGTCTCAAATCTTGGACAGAAGTGACCCCAACTTTCTTGAACAAAAGAGGCAAGAATTTGGGATTGTTATTTTTTTGTCAACGTTTAGATAGTTGATAAAAAGAATTAGATGACACTCCAAGGGTATTTTTGTTTTTTCAAATGTCACTTAATAGCTGGTTAATGGCACGTACTAGGTTGATACGTTTTGAAATTTGAATACTAAATTATCGTATTTTAAAATTCGATGACCAAAATAGCACTAGACCCAAAGCACAGGATGCTAATCTGAAATTTTCACATAATTATATAAATAGTGTATAGAATTAGAATATACATATATAATATAAATAATTTGTCCTAACTAAATGGATCAACTTTCCAATCAACCCAATTTGTTAGGATAAGGGGGGTAAAAGAATCCAACTCTTATCGGATCGGATTTAGATTGAAATCAAATCACCTGACTTATTTACAGCCCTACTTTGTATCGATCAAGTGCTCACTACAGAAATATAAGTTGTCAACATTGCTTTGTTGGTTATTTTTCCTGTGAAATGAATACATCATCGATCCAGTACTTGTTGACGCTTGAAACTATAAACTAGAAAGAGGCTTAATTAAGAAAAAGTTAAAATTTTAAGGGGGCAGTATAGTTTTGACAAGAGACAGCTGGGATAATTAAGTAGTAGCAGCCAGAGCCAACAAAGAAGCTAGGCCCAACTTCATGCAATTCTTATTTAGATGGCTTTCATGTTTCAGTCCTCACAAAATGGTGCTCAAATCATATGTCACTTAGCAGTTGTATTTCCTAACGCACAACAAGTGGCTGTGAGTATGGTGTTAGCATCATTTTCTGAGGACTAAATCTGATCTCTGGGGGATATGGGCGATGGGTATTCAACCTCTTCAACCCCATCGGGTCGAGGATAGGGATTAATAGGGATTTCCGATCGGGGTTGGGGTTGGGGTTGGGACCCAGATGGGGAATGAGGTCTCCACCCCATCTCCGACCCTGATTTAACTAAAAAATTTTGGAGATCTGGGTCCCCATGGAGAACCCATTTCCATCGGAGATTGAAGAGAAAGATTTATTTCAAAATTGGGGTTGAGGATAAGAAATATAATCCCCGCCCCATTGCCATTCCTACCTATACTGATGTATAATAAAGAATAATTGTAAATTTGTAATCAATATTATTTTAATTAAAAAGACAAATAAAAGAAGTAAATAGGATGAAATATCATGTACAGGAAGCTTCAAAGCAAGCAGCCAGGCTGTTTTTTCAAACCACCATGCTTTAATATAGTACAAGAACCGAAGGACAAAGTGTTTCACTTCTTTGTGACAGATTTTCTGTAAATCATTGTAGCCAAAGTTTCCAATCCAAACTCATTGGCAGCAATTCTACGGTCTAGGCGGGTATTTTTCTTTTATGGATTTTCATTGATTTGAAGACCTTCGAGAACGATGCACTCTTGAATATATGCCATTGTGATTTAGGTGGCCTCCATCCAAACGACAAGATTGAACATCCAAATCTTTCATTGATTAAGGATTTCAATCTTGTTGCTTTTTGGGGTCTACATTGATTTGAAGGAGTTGTCAAGATCAAAACTGATGCAGAACCGGAATTGATTTGTTCACCGGTTGTAGGGTCAGCAGTTTGACTGTCCAGTCCTAATGCATCAGTCCATGATGTTTTAATAAATTTAAAAAAAAAAGAAATAATTAAAATAAAAATGGTCCAAAAATCATTACCCAGATCGAACAGATCGGTTGCTCAATCACCTGGGTGAACAGGTCACAGATCAATTCAACGGTTTTGGGAAAATAATAGTTCAGGGCTGAAACAGAAGCAGTACCTTCACTGATTTCTTGGCTGAACAGTTTTAAAACCTTGGATTAGACCTGGCAATTGGGTTGGGTGGGTTGGGTTTGTTAAGATACTTCAGGTTGATTTTGGGTTGGGTTAATTCGGATTAGGTTATCAAATGCTAGACCATAACTCTAAATATTCGGATTGGGTCAATTCGGGTCATCTAAAAAATAACTGAAATTTAAAAAATAAAAAAAAAAAACTATGTGAAAAATGCCAAAATTAAAGGAATTAGCCTTGAAATTCTAAATATAAAATAAAAACTTGAACATTTAACAATTTAAAGAATAAACAATAAAGAGTAAAGACTAAATATAAAAAAAATTATAGAGTGAAAACTTCTAACAATGCATAAATAGTCCTGATAGACTTGACCGCTGATCCATGACCCAATCCAACCCAGTTTTTTCTAGGTTGGGTCAAATCGGTTTATTCTTACAATCAGATAGCTAAATATGAAACCCTAACCTTATTTTTTCCATTGGATTGAATCGGATTCACAGGTTGAGTCAACTTTTTGCTAGGTCTAATCAAGATGGTCACTAGGCATACCTTTAAGTAAGAGATGTGGGATGAAACCCAAAGTACTGCAGGCTCTCCATTCCATGGTATGGTCAATGGGCCTGGTGCATCCTTTCAGTTCCATTCCCTTGTACCATGTTGCACGTAATATCAAAAAAGAAAAAAAAATTATTACATTTTAATCGTTTTTTAAGGGTAGGCTGAAGGTATTTTAATGTACACTTATTCAACGTGTTCATAGTTTATGCCAAACTGATCTGGACTGATTTCATGAATGGCACAGCATTTGAGACCGTAGGTCTTCAATATTATTTCATGATTAAATCTAACAGGTTAGAATTAAAATGAAAACATGTGAAGCGAAATAAAAAGAAAAAAAATTAAGATGAAAACACATTCAGGTGAGTCGTATGTATACTTGGTTGGGTTCAACGATCAAAATTTCATCACGTATTGGTCAATACTCCTTTCCAATACACCCCTACAGAGGGTGTTCCAGGTCGGCAAGTGGTTCAGAGGGTAGACCGGCCTTAAACCAGCCCCTCTAACTTAATTTCAAAAAAAAAAAACACTTAAAAAACAGTACTGATACAAGTCGATATGCCCTATTTGCGTATCACCCTGTATCAATATTTTGAACATTGGTTGGGTTCAAGGTTCAAAGTATCAATACGTATCGGCCAATACGTATCATTCCAGGACCCCTCCGATAACTCCCTATAGTGGGTGTATCGGGGTCTGATCAGTTCAGGGGGTGGAGGAGCCCTAAATCAGTCCCCTGAACTGGTTTCAGAAAAAAAAAATAAAAAAAAAGTAGTATCAATTCGCCCAATACACCCCTACTGGCGTATCGAACGTATCAATATTTTGAACCTTGATTGGGTTACAAAGTTTGTAGGTATTTTCACTCTCAATGTATATTAATATGTAGGCAAAATTTACACATTTTGTGAAGAGCAAACTAATATGCATACATTATGCTTGAGTTTCCATATACATGTTTGCCTGTACAAGTGTGAGATTCACCGACAGAAGTTGGAATGGTTCCCGTAGATCCCCTTAGCTGGGCTAATTTGTTCCTCCTCTCTCTGTCTCTCTCTCTCTCTCAAAACTCATCTCTGGTTGAAAATGAAGATTTACTACAATTTTAAAAACTGATGATAATATGTCAGATTTCAGACAGCGAAATATAATCCAACAGTTCTTATCTTTTATACAATTAATTTGTCAGGTGGGGCTCACCCAATTTCACGTGCAGAAAGGCGTAGCTTTTTTTGTTTGTTTTTTTTTTCCTGAAAGTCTAGCTTTTCGGCTTGAGCTTTTTAGTTACTGCAACAGCGTTATTTTGTTTAGCGCCATAGGTGAAGGTGAATTCACCAGTGAACGTCGTCGGAGCCCTTTCGGGACAAAATACACTTTTTAGTCTTGGACCCGACTTCCATCGAAACATGGACCAGATGCCTCCATATATGATTTTCAAAGCTTTACGAACTGAAATTATTTGTAGATCCCCACAACGAAAAGAACCTTGCTTTCTGATGTTGATCTTCATTGAAAATTAATCAATTCACGTTAAATATCGACGTAATTCCCTCACCTGCCGCCCATTAGCATTAAAGATAAATTGGCCAACCAAGATACGGAGACCCTCTGGAAGGTGGATAAGCAATTCATCCATGCGCCAATAATGCTCTCCCTCACCTCTCTTTACCTGGATAACTTATATCACAATTCACAAGAACGCTGCAACTGGATAAGTTTTAAACTCACTCAGATTAATGAAAACACGGGGCCTAAGAGCTGCATTCATTATCTTCCTTTAATCTGAACTTAGATGCCATCTGCGCTCCAACTCCAAGTGAGTTAAGGAGGCTGACGAAGATGCGAATGAGAGAGAAACGAAGTCACATTATAAGCATACAGAGTCTCCGGTGTCAAATGGTGTTTTTGATTTCAATAATAAACAATTTCCATTTTCACAGCAAGAAGAGCATTTTTCATCAACAACCAAAAGCTACAAAGACCTCTGTACACGCCCATCAATGGTTTGGGTTCTTCATCATTAACACTTCTCATACACAACAATCTCCTCTCCAGCCTCTACAAGTAAGACGCAAGAAAAAAAAAACAAGAGAGTAAAGAGCCCCCTACCCTCTCATCCCACCCACCTCCTTGCCCAGAATGTGGTCGCAACTTGCCACTCTCGTGGTCTGTGGTGTTGAGCAGGAAGACTTTTTAATGATAAGGGTGGTTGAAAGAATGTAAAAATTACTTTATATTTCTTGGATTCTTTTGAATTGCCCTCATGTTAAAATTAAGTCCTCTGTTTTCTGCTATCTGCTCTCGAATCTGGATTATCACTCTTGTCTGTGTCGGAGTTCTCCCTCTGGCTTTCTATCTCTATACTCCCTGCTTGACTCCTTCGGTGTCTTCGGTCCTGAAGAATTATAATACAAAGTTCAATCCATCAATCAGATAAGAGAGAGAGAGAGATTTACAACGTGTACATAGAGTGCATTGCAAAAGAAATTAAAATAACACCTCACACCCCAACCCAAAGACAAGGCCCATTAGCAGCCGAGATACTTGCACCCCTAAACATGAATTCGGCTTCTGTCAGGGCAAATCAGTGCACGCACCATTTGAGCAGCCCCTTGCAACCTTGCATGGGAATATCTCCCATGAAATAAATCACATAAGCACAGAGATATTCCCAACGTAAGGCTGTAAAGGCTGTTGGAACGGGCTTTGCCCTGACCGAAGCCATACTCCCTAAACATAGAAGAAAAAATGCCTGGCAAAAATTTTCACCTCTAAACATCAAGAAAAACACCCCTTCCTCCAAGAAACTAACCTAGGGTGATGCCTCCAAATAAATAAATAAAAGAAAACCCCAACAATAGCCCAATACCCCTATTTACACAATAAAACCCCATCTCCACCAAACAAAAGAATCCACGGTACCCTCAAATTCCACATAACTATCAGATAACACCCACCACCACCAGGAAAGCCTTTCCCCTATAAATAAGGTTACAGTTTGGGTGATGCCAACCTGAACCAAACTAGAGCCTATCTAAAATCCATCTCCACCAAACAAAAGAATCCACGGTACCCTCAAATTCCACATAACTATCAGATAACACCCACCACCACCAGGAAAGCCTTTCCCCTATAAATAAGGTTACAGTTTGGGTGATGCCAACCTGAACCAAACTAGAGCCTATCTAAAATTACAGTGTTGGGTCGGGTTAGGGTTAATGCCTTGGGCAACCCAGTGCAACCCGAACCCATATTATAGTTGCAATAGTACATACTCTTGTAGTCTTCTATGCTATATGTATTGATTTATGTATATAGATTTGTTTATGTGAGAGGGAAGAGAGGGGATCAGAACACAATGAATGGTGTTTTCTGTAAAATAGTACCACAATATGATTTCTATCATTTGCATTATAATATTTGTTCTTGCATTAGTTGGTGTATTTGTGCATGTATTATTTCTATGTTTGGTTAGGGTAGAATTGAACTTTTAGCACATTGGGTTCAGCTAAGTTTGACATCAACCCATGCCAACCTGGATCAAGTTGCACCAGTACCTACAAATTTGATTGAGTCCCCCCCCCAAACCCTCTTCCTTTCCTGCTTTCTTTCTTCCCTTTGCTATTGATTCTTCCAATACATCCTGTAATATTTTTTTTAAGAATGCTTCATTATCATCTTCTTCCGTACTTTGAATGGCTTTGGCTAGTTGTTTCTCACCTACCCTCAGAATTCAGAGCACCATAAAGACCAAATTGACTGGTGATGGTTTCTATCTATCTCAGTGATCTTGGTAAGACTCAAGAAATGCAAGAGCCCGATCCGCATGAATTCCAATGGCTATCTAGCATTATGCTTTCAATATTCTTTACTGGTATACAACATGAATGAATCTACATTTCCTTCTGGAAATGACATTCATATGGATAAGGGTTCTAACAGCATGTCAAAGACGAAAAAGTCAGAATAAGAAAGGACAAGTAAATCTGCCAGCCCCAGCTTGTCTTGTACTACCAGTCCCAAGCCCCAATTATGGAGGGTTGTATCAGCATGGCAACCGGCATAAAAACCTGTAGCCAAATTTCTATAAACAATAAGCAAAAATACTGAATAACATGATTTAGTTTCAGGCATATGCAAGGATAAGGAAGTGGCTGCTATAGGGTAGATATTGACTTCAGTATGGGACAAAAAGAAATTTTTTGGTCTATGATTTTCTTTTAAGTAGAAACTGTTAGCATTGAACAGTTATATGTTGGTCAATCAACATTCATACATCAATTTAACGAGTGAAAGGGATCATTTTCTGAAATTCCACAAGTTTCATAGGCATGAAATTTCATAAAAGCATCATGAAATTTCATTATATGGGCATTTGAAATATGATGTAAGAATCAAACCTCTCGGGGTATGGGATATTCCTCTGACTCAAGCATGCGGACAACTTGGCCCATCTTCGGTCTCTTGTCTGAGTCAGGGTCAACACATCTCAAAGCAGTCAAAAGAGCTCTTTTCAGGGCTCTTGTTGAAGGCCTTGTCTGAATGTTTGGGTCCACAACTTCTTCTGAGCGCCTGCTGCCAACCATCATTTTGAGCCAGTCAACCATATTTACCTGCAAGAACCACCATATTATATTCAATTAGAGTGAAATAACTTAGAAATCAAGTGCCTCCATATTTGATAAAGATAGGAGCCAGATTAGAATTACCAAAAAATAAAAACAAGGCTGTAGAATGTAATAAAACAATTGGATTGGAGAAGATGTAATATTATGCAAAATCCTAATGTCTATGAAAGTTCAAGAAAGAACAAATTAAGATGCAAATACATAGGTTCCCACTTTCTCGTGAAGGTGTGTCAGATACCCAGATGGTGCATTTAGCAAAAACACGGATTTGCCTAGATGGTTGAACAAGTGACCCATCTAGGACCAGGTTAATTGACAGTTTTCAGTTAGAATGAGCTAATTGTTTGGTTTACTCATACAACCGTTGCACAGTGAACATTCCAGTTTTCTATTCAGTCAGAGTCTGACAAAAATGGTATTTAGGACACCATTATCTCACATGAGCTTTGAAATCCAAGATGCTGACTGTTATCTGAACCCAAGCCAAAGTGCAACCATCCTACTCAGTCAGTCAGGTACTAGATTTGTACTCCACATTTTGGAGTTTAATCACTCAGCCAAGTTTTTTATGCTTTCATGAATAACTGAGATTAAATTCAGACTCTAAGTTGAGTAGACCTGTTTCTGTTACCTATTAGTTTCTTCAGTAATGTGATCCACTTGTTATATCATGGCCATTGCCATTTGTTAGTGTCAGAGCTTATTTTTACAAGAAAGAGGCAATATGGGAAATCAGCATGGCTAAAAATGATAAATTAATACAGTATATGGGACTGATTTGAGCACCCAGAAAGAAGTTGGAATATCCTTGCATCAGGAAATGCAAAACAGCATCATTTGGGAGAAGAAAAGAGGGAACTGAATACAAAAGAATTAGTAAAATATTTCATATTGTAACTTGAAAGAACATTCTAAATATCATTTTGATTCACGGCTCTGGTTGAAAAGACACAGGTAACAATTTAGGCTGGTCTTGGTAAGTACAGCATATGGTATACCACCACAACAGATGCATCAACAAATAATTGCTCAAGAACAAAAAAAAAAAACATGGTAAATAGTTGTTATTTTGAAGCACTTCAAATAAGTTTTCTTTCAAAAGTTTTGTTTACCTCATTGGCTGGCCGACTATAATCTACAGGATCTCTTCCAGTTATTGCTTCCAGCAGGACAACGCCAAAGCTATAAATGTCACTCTTTTCATTCAAGAGACCAGTATTTGCATATTCTGGAGCCACATACCTGCAAGGTTTTAAACAAAAAGAAAAGATAAGGATTACCCTATCAACAGCATCTGGATTTCCCAATTGAAAGTTCTAACAGAAAAAAAGTCAACTTAAACAAAAAGTGCAATTCCTGCACTAACTCAGAGGGCATAGATGTATATTATAAAGAATAATTACCCAAAAGTTCCCATAACTCGGGTGGTGATATGACTTTTCCCAGCACCTAGCAACTTAGCCAGACCAAAATCGGATACCTTGGCATTGAAATCATCATCAATCAATATGTTGCTAGACTTGATGTCTCTGTGCACTACTTTTGGCTCAATAGCCTCATGCAAGTAAGCCAGCCTGCAAGAAAATATATTGCATTTACAAAGGAAGTGCAACCTAAAAGACAATTCAGATTCAGATAAAAATCAATCAACTTACGCCCTGGCAGTTCCAATGAGAACTTTCATCCTGGCCTCCCAAGTAAGATATCCATGCTGGCGCATAGCCCCATGAAGCCATTGCTCTAAATTTCCATTGTTGACATATTCATAAACCAACATCCTGAAAATTTATGCTAAAAGTCAAACAAAGCCTAAAATCTGAGCCACCAGGACCCTTTTTAACAACAAATAGCAGAAATGGGAACTATTTAGGTAGAGTAGGTCCCCTGTCAGTGATAATCAGAAGGAAAGGGATTTTATTGGTTTTTAGCAACTATCAATTATATGTAATTTTTTTAATTCTTTTTTTTTTCTTTTGTACAGATAGCTTTTCTCTTATAACTTATATGCATACTTATGTGTAGGCTAACCTTAAAGGTCAAGTTTGATTCATGCAATATAAGATTTAATTCACCATTAAAATCAAATTCAAATTGGAAGATACAGTAAAGAGATTCCAATGGGGTTTAGCCTTGTTCTAGTAGAATTAGAACTGCAGTAGTTAGAATGGCAGACCAAAAACAGTTTAAGTTGATGGAACCTGAATCAACTTGAGTAAGGGATAGGGATGGATGTAAAAAAGACCATTTCCTTCCCTTTTTTTCTGTTGACTAGGGAAGAGAGTCTACTGACACACATACACACAAGATGGGAAAAGTAGAGATTACATAGCTTATCAAAAAAAAGTTTATTTATTAAAAATACATTTCATTCATGGTGTACCCTACAAATTGGTAGCTACGAATACTAGAGGATGTTAGCTAAAAACTATGGAAAAAGTTGATTCCTCGAAAGCTCTATTAGAATATCGAAGTAATTTATTTACAAACCATTTTACTACAGAGAATACTGTGTTACTATAATTTCCAATACAAGGCTTCTGATATACAACCAAATGAGGGGATTTGGGAAGTGATGTACTTCATTTATATGCATACCGCATAGAAAATAGGTACACCTACACATACAAGTAGTCAAATAGGGAAGAAGTTAGTATTAAAAAGCCACAAAGAACATTATATGAGAATCTTGTACCTGTGGGTGCCTTCAACACAGTATCCTAGAAGTCGAACTAAGTTTTTGTGTCGCACATGACCAATTGCCTCAACCTCCACTCTAAATTCTTTCTCTGCTTGGCCTCTATAAGAAAAAATAACTCAAGTTATATATGCCACATGCTACACTAAGAAGACTAACAAAAGAAAGAATGAAGAAATATGACAGTTTGAAAACAAAATGATGACTTTATAAACTTACAAATTATTCAGAAGCTTTTTAACTGCCACTGGTGTCCCATTGATCAGTTGACCCCTGTATACAACTCCATATCCACCCTCACCAATGACATTTTCCTTCGAGAACCTGTTTGTTGCAAGCTCCAGGTCCCTTAGCGTAAACCAGTGACCCCAACCAAGGTGAGAGAATTCAGGCAGGCCAACTAGAGGTGAAGGAGAAGTTATGGGATATGAAGAAGATGGTTTGTAAACAGTTACCGTCCCAGAACTCCCCTCTTCTCCAGATTGAGACCCAGCACCATCTTTCTCCACATGATGAAATGAACCTGATTGACTGCTACAATCTCCATTCTTTGTTTTCCCCATGCCCAAATGGACCATTACCCTGTCCGACTCTTTGTCACTTGACTTGTCATGAATGGTGAGAAGAAACCCGTCGCGAGGATGAAAATCATTTGTTGATACTTGGTCAACCTTTACCTCTTTGATTTCCTTTGAAATAGCGGGAATTTGGCTAAGGGGAAGATTATCAACAGACCTTCTTGACCTCCTCCGTGAAAAAAGACATATAACCATCACACTGAGAATAATTACAATGGACAGCATCACACATATTCCAATCAAAACCCACACTTTGAGGCCCAATACACCTGTTTTCTTGGATAGCTCAGCATTGAGATCAGTCGCCATTTCTTTTTATGATGAAGATATGCCTACAAAACATGATAAGGAAACTCAAATTGCAATCAAGTATGAAGGAGCTAACTTTTCAATACATTTGTGTGTGTAATTTTATTTTTTGAACACAACATTTTCTAGACATTAATACAGTGTCTTGGTTGATCTCAGGTCAGCACTAAATTAACCTTTACGTGCTTAAGTATATTACATCCTTTCGTCAAGCATGTTGGTCCTATCAGATTATTAAACAGATGTAGACGACCTAAAGGTTCTGAACGATTCATTGCTTTCCCTGGAATCAAGGAAAACCACCAGCCAAGAAGATGAACAAAGGGGAGCAAATAACACAACCGAAACATGAGAAGGACATTACCCTCCGCCCATCTATATACTAAAAATCATCATTTTACCAACATAAACAAGAGCGCAAAAAGAAACCCAATTTACACACATGAAAATAATCAAGCAAAACATAGAAATTATTACCCGAAAATAGAAAAACACAGAAATGCAATATGCTTCTTCACCATCACAATTATAACCAAACCAACATAACCCATTTGAATATCCTACTATACAGCACTACAATCCCACCCACGAGAATACAAGATGCAAAATTCAAAGGAGAGAAAGAAAGAGAGGAAAGGGAGGAAGAGGGAGAGAGAGGTTCCATTTTTTCAGTAGAAGCCCATTCACCTACCTATGAATGGATTCACAAAGCAGCCTTAACAGCCCAGATCTCTGAACCACCTTCTCCACGCCTTCTCAAAGAGCCAAAGTACCAAACCCTAACCCTAAATCTCTGATAAAAAAGGAGTAACGACCCATGATGAAATAAGTCGAAGCCAACAAACTCAAATCAACCCCATTGTCAAAAAAGCAAGCTAAATATGCAGTTGGATAAGGTTTCCTTTCTGTGTTTTCTGTGTTAAGCAAATGGCACTTTGAATCTAAGCTCAGGTGGAGCTTTCTGACACCACAGCTGCCCCTACTTGAAAACCCTAACCCTCCTAACCTCAACAAGCGACAACGATAATCTTCTACTTTTGATGAAGGGTTCTGCAGGAAGTACTGGGACATGGAATTCTGGCTTGGAGAAGGGAGGAGGTGTGGGGGATAATAAGAAGGGGTGGAGTTATCAGTGGTAGGTAACAAGGAGATGCCCTACAAACAGTAAAATGGAAGCATGGAAATGGAAGGTTTCTTGGGTTTTTCTTCATTTCTTTACATAGCTCTGAAGATGACAGATTATCAGAAATTTTAAATAAAAAAAACACTAGGAACCTAAAGAAGCCTTTAAAAGACACAACTTTTCTGTAAGATGGCCTTTTTCTTTTATTACTGTGATTTTTAATGCTTTTGTTAGTCAAACATCAAGGAAAAAAAATTAGTGATGATTACGCTGGCAAAAAGGAAAATTAATCAGTGTTCGATTAGGTTAGATGGTCAAAATTAAATGAGTAGATTGGATTAGCAAATTTCTGCCTTCCAAAAAGATTAGCCAAATTTCCAAAAGTATAAAAACGCCCTCACTGAGTCTGAGTCACTGGTTTTGGCCTTTTGGGGGGTGAATTACAAGCATACCATTTTCACTAAAGATTTGCAATTTTGGCTTTTTCTCAATTACAATACAAGGACGACCAGTCGACCACCCTTTCTTCTTTTCGAGTTCTGTGAAAATTTCTTGGGTGACTACTGACTGGTAGTAGATAGTAGTAGTCAAAGAAATGGACTGAATACCAGATCTCTTACGGTAACAATTCCCCTTCTTTCTCCTAAAATTACAGACAAGATCCTCTTCTTTTGCCTTGAGCCTGTGACAGACATGACCTTTCCTCCGTTACTCGCTACTCAAGCTTTCCTACTTGGCAGATCAAGTACAAGGTCCAGTGGAGTCCATGTGTTGTGTTGTGCCACTTCACCTCTTTTCCACATGATCAGTGCCAAAGGATTGGGGAGGAGGGGGTGAAGTAAGAACTTGGGCATGAGTTACTGATATTTGAATCATGTCCAATGGGGCCAGCAGATGCAGAGAAATTCCAATAATCCAATTCCAGCGGTATATGAGTTATGATGACATTGACATGAATGAACAAGCAATGTGCACACCAGCCACCCCCAGAAAGAAAGGCTAATTTCTTAAAACACTGTCCACATACCACAAATTAACCTTGTAATGTGGGGCTGCCGTCCTATTGGGATTTCTCTGTGAACAGGAATCTGAATTCCATTCTAAATTTCACCAAAACAGGGTCTCCTTCAAGCTTTTCTATCTTGGATAGAAGCTGAATCCAGAAAATCTTCTAGTCACTGCATTCTCTTTGAGTTGATTCTTTGTGTTAGGTCCAGGGTCTTCCATTTTCATGGTTTTTTGATGGAACTGGGTTCTGGATTAGAATTAATGCAAATTTATAATCTGGGCACTTCCATTTCCATTGGGGATCCCAAAACCTAAAAAATAATCAAAGGAATGGGGCAACGTATTTTTTTGTCAAATACATGAATTGAATTGAATTCCGAAAGAAACAACTTCAATATCAATAATGAGATTGCAGTAATCCCAAAACAGAAAAAACAAAGAAAAGAAATTTACAGGAGGCGTGCGAACTGTGAACTGTGAAAGCAGGGAAGATTTGTCAGACTCTTTCACACACACGGTAGCTTAAATGCAAAGTTCCGCAAAGCCCAGACCCCAGAGAGTGAAGGACGAGGTTGGTCCAGCGAGTCTCCTTTCAGGAAATATAGGGGTAGTTCGGTCATTACGTAAACATTTTTTAAAACTAAAGTGGCGGTTGGGAAAACTGAAATCTGATCTTCGAGAAAAAAAAAAAAAAAATTCTTTGTGATAGAGAGAGAATTTTAGGTAAAGAATAATTAATAGACATGGGAGTTTCTGTAATAGAATAGAGGCAGGTCATTTGTAGAATAACATTTTAAAATTATTCAGCAAAACATTCTGAAAAGCAAGTGCCGTTTGATAAGGGCTGAAGTTACTGAACTGAAATACTTATTGCTTCCTCTTTTAGTTGTTAAAATAATGAGATTTAAGGTCATGTCTTTCGAATATCATAGTATAACCTTAAAATAATTAAAAAATAAGAATCTATTTGGTTCATAGTCAAAATGGAATCGATTCTGCCCAACTAAACAATTCAAATTAGAATGATTTCATTCAGATTTCAAACCTTTATTCCCTAAGCCAAACAGGCCCTAAAATTTACAAGAGTATAGCGCTCTATCCAACTTACAACCATTTTAATTTAACAATGTAAACAAATTACAATTACAATTTCTTGAATACTTTGTAGCAAATAAAGAAAAAAAAAAGTACTTAAATACTAATTGCCGACAGACAAATGCTAACCGGTGGATATATCTAAGTATATTAGGTAGTTCTGCTTATGGACTATGACATCACCCGACCCGACTCAACCCGTCAAACCTACTTTTTTACCTTTTGTTTATTCTATTTCTGAAGTGCACTTTATTACCTAACCACCGCATCTTCTGAGAAGTAGAAAATAGAAGAAATCCCACCCCGCCGCCCGCCATCTTTGTTTTGGTTGGGCAGCTATTGAGGAACGGGTAATTTCTGGACTCCAGACTATCCGATTTACCCGCCCGGATTTCCAGATGGTCGGTTCGACTCCATGCCTGAATTTAAATTGTGGGGTCCGTGTATTTCTGACCATCTGATCCAACGGCTTTGATTGCTCTTGCAAGAGCAGGAGAGTAGTGGAATGATCCGACATCAAATCAGCCCCCCACAGGATTGATCCCTACAACGTCCCACAGTATATTCCTGCCATATATTGAGAATATCTCTCGATGATAATATAAAAAATCGTGATATCATCATCAGGAGATGTTTTTAATACACGGCAGGAATATGCTATGGGATGTTGTGGGGAACAATCTTGTGGGGGACTGATTTAAACTCGGATGATCCACATACGATTCTAATTCTAGTAGGAGTATTGGACCAGTTTTGGATTGGATTCATCCAAACCAAAATGAACTTTGATGAATTAGACAGATCAATAAGGCATATTGAATTGGACTAGTCCAAATTTAATGATCTAGAGTATTTATTGGATTGGACTAGACCTGGTTCATCCATAATGATTATATATTGAATTGGATTGGATTGAGCCAAAAACTAATTTGTTGATAAAAGATAGGAATATAAGTGTTAATGGACCAGGTTTAGGTTAGAACTAATTCAAATTAAAATAAATTTAAACAGATTAAACGATCCAAAATAGCTCAAAATATTTATTAGATTGGATTAAATCTAGCCCATTTGCAATGGACTGGATCACATTGGACTAGACTGAGTTGGACCAATTCACATTGGACTGGATCATATTGGACCAAATCCAGTCCAATTGACACCCTACATACTACCACAGTGTCAAATGTATGTGATAATGTTGTTTTGCAATTTGCACCATCAGATCAGAGAGAGTGCGTCTTTCTTTTTTCTATCCACCCATGACCCAGCAAGTCAAAAAGACAACCCCCGACTCATCGTTTTTCATTGAAACAAGTTATCAGTTACTGGCCCACGGCCCACTGTGATCAATGGAATTTTGGTGGCCCACCCAAATTCCTTCCTTGACTGGGGTAGCATATGGAAAGACTAAAGCCCTAAAACGTCAGACACTCATGGACTGAAACGAAGATAAAAGAATCTGGTATGTACTATAATTATACATTGCATGAAGTGAATTTAATGGCGGTGGGTGGACTCATGATTATTTGATATTTCATCCTCTGTTATTACTGTTGGTGTGGGTGGTTTTTAATGGAGTCTGTCCTTTCCTTTGCAATCACAAATATTCCACACATTTTATATGTTTTATTAATAAACAAATTAAAATATTTCTTTCTCCATCAACCCTTTTAAGATTCCCATCTATCAAATACAGGCAACACCCCTAAAGATCTCTCATCGACTGATGATCCATCGATAACTTATGCCTGTTTCAGGAGAAAACGTAGGTTAATAAAACTGGGAAGATGACTTTGTGGCTTGCTTCTCTACATAGATCCCCATTAGTTCAGCTTTAATAGGCTTAGCTGGGAACTGAGAAAAACAGGACAAAAGCAAATACTATTATAGGTTGAACAAATCACTATATGTAAGAAGAATCGTTTCTCATTTTGAAGATATAGCAAGATCATATGCTTTGATGATAGTAAGAGATACGTATTTTCCAAAAAAAATACATAATTATGTTATAGGGCTTTGCTTCCATGGATTTTAATGCCAAATAATTGATGCAGTTCACCATTGACCTAGTGAATTAGTGATCTTTCTAGGTCTCTGTTAAAATGACAGTTTTCATGGTTTGAATGGACTAATCACTATGTTCAATCTGAGTCTTACATCATTATAGTAGTGTTCTCAAAATGTCGTTGATTTGGAGAGTGGAACCATTTGATCCGCCACTCGGCCATAATTCTAGGTTTGGTTTGGTTAAAATGTTGGATTTGATCAATTAAGTGGTTGGATCATTAACCCATTTGACCCAGTCACTAATTGTATATGTAAACTTTTAGAGACCATAACTTTACATTCGGATGTCTAATTAAGATAATTTTTTATTATTAATATAATATTTTAAATAAAAATAATAATTTTTATTAATTGATTCAAAATATTTCAATTAAAAAATCTTTTCCTCACAAATTTGAATTAATCAACCTAAAATGCAATTGGAAACATTACACACTGCACTAAACACCCCACTAGGGCTGTTCATAAGAATGTCCAACCCGACCAAATCGACCAACATGGACCGACCCAACCCGAGTCGGCCGGGTTTTCATCAATACCGGTCGATTTTGGGTTGGGCAAATATATAAACTGATATATCGGGTCGATTTCGGTTTTCTTGTGTGAAAACCGAAACCAACCCGACCCGAACCGAACTAGTCTTCTACTAGTTCGGTAGTTCTTAGTTTGAGTAGTTTCCTACTTAACTATAACTAGTCTTCTACTAGAACTAGAAGGCCCATTAGGCAATTACAATTAGAATAGGCAATCTATCCTAGTTTCTAACTTTCTATAATCTTTTACACCAAATAGGCAACCCATTAGGCAATTACAATTAGAATTCAATTAGGTGTCCTTTTGCACAGGAGCAAAACTGAAACCGACCCAACTCGACTCAAACCGACCAGGTCGGTTTGACCTATCAGTGGGTCGGTTTCAGTTTCCACCTCAAGTAACCCAACCAGGCCGCGTCAGTTGGAAAAACCCCAATAAACCGACCCAA